TTATGTTTGAGGGTAGTATACACGGGGGGTTGTTTCTATTTGTGTAATATAAATGTGATACTTTCTGTTGGCTCTCAACAATTGGTATCTTCTGATTTCTTGCGGGTGTGGGTGTCGATATTCTATTCTTTATACACCCACACCCTCAAGATGGTATCAATAGTTTAGAAATATTGGCATACTTACTTCAAACTTATGCATATAGTGGTGATGAACGTTTTCTCAATGGTACAAAACTTCTTATTGATACTTATCAATACGATATCAATCTTATTAATGCAAAGATGATTGCTATTTGCAAAAATTATTTATCTTACTTGAATCTAGTATATGCTATTAATATAATTACTTTGACATCAAGTTAATCAAACTTAACATCTATTCAATAAAAATGATGCATCTTCTGTTAGTTTCAACTGTAGTTATTTGTCAACAGATGGTAGATGGCATATCCAACGTTGGCCACATTTTAATATCGATCGGTTGGATGTTCAACAACACAAACCAGCCGAATGTAATGAGAAACCTTATGCATTGCATCTGTTACCTCCTGACAAACGAAATGTAGGCAAATATGAAATAAATAATGTAACAATTGAAAAAAAAATACTCTTTTTGTATCCAAAACCAACTACAGTCTAACAGTTTCTTCATCAATAATTCCAAAAATCGATTCCATTGGATCCTTATATTTGACAAAACCACAAGCTGGTTCTGAAATTCCATAGCCAAGTACACGTAGTTCTGCAGGACTTAACTGAAGTTCCTTGCATCGTTCAGGTGGTACCATGAGATACTGATTTTCTGCTTGTCGATAGAATCCTTTCACCATAAATATACCTATCGTTTCACGCCATTCATCTTGAGTAATATTGGCTCCTCCTGCATGATAAAGATTTCCTACAAAGATCGTCGCATCACCAGGTTCTAATTCAGCAGGTACCGCTTCTTCTACCAATGGTATACGATCTTCGTCTTCCCATAAATGTGAACCAGGAATAACAATCGTTGCTCCATTATTCTTATGTGTACGTGTTAGAGCAGTTACACAACCAATCATTACTGGCCGATCGCATGGTCGACTATGATAATCACTGCAATCACGATGAAGTCCTTGTTGTTTCCCACGGGGATTGACACGAAAGCCAACAGTCGATGAAATAATTGGTTTCGAACTAGCAATTTTTTTTTCTGAACCAACATAAAAAGTGTATGTAGATGTAAGTAAACGATTAGCCACAGATAGAAATAAGGGATGCATAGCTATATCTATACATGCACGAGAAATCGCGAATAAACCTGTTGCTCGTTGTGTAGTCGATGGAAAGAAGCCTGATTTATCGATAACATCGGAATTAAAATGAGGTGCAAGATCTTTTATTACTTGATCAATATGATCTTTCGAAAACATTCCAGTGACAATTGCCACACCATCGCGTCGAAGACTTTCTAATATTTTATCTTCAGCATTTTCTGATGTTGCTGCTATACGAGTAATAGTCACTAGTGTAGTAGTCATTCCGTGTAATAGAAGAAGAAGAAGAAAAAAACAAAAGTTTATGATGTTGGATGACTCCTCATTGATAACGCAAATAAGCAAAAGTGCCTTCTTATCTATGTTTTCAACACACTTCTTTTTTCAAAGTGTAGAATCAAAAGAAAACATGACACATACTATGTGAGTTACATACCATTACCCGATGTCCTATATTTATTGTATCAGAATCCAAATAGTTTCAAAATAAGCTAATCTTTTATTATTACAGTATGTCACACGAATTTTAGTATTGATAGAAGTTGTATTTGGCTGATTGATATCTGTATAAATGGATTCATTATTTAAAGAACGAAATTTTAAACCATTTTCGAATGGTGCACTATCGAATACCACCATACCAGATCAACAACTTTTGACCCATAGAATATCCATCAGTATCACGAGTTGCATCTTGACTAGAAAATACAATGTCATTGAGAAAAAGAACTTTTGAAAAGCGTCGACTTCCATTCGTAGATATATGAATTTTTTTGTATAAGATAGGTGCCAAAGCGTGATTAAGAATCATAGCAAGATAAGCAATACGAGATAGATGTTTATGAATTGTATCTTTTATGTACATAGACGCTTTTTGGTCATCATTAAGTATTAATTTAGTTATTATAATTTCATGCATACACTTTACATGTTTTTCAAAGTCTTGTAATAATCGAGATGTTGCAATCGTAGAATGATTTTCGAAGATAGAGAGATAAACATTGTTTGGTTCGAGTTCATCAATAAGTTCAAGCATTGTACGAGTCCAACTACCATCTTTTAGTAATAATTCAGATTGATAGAGATTAACTGCAATGAAGACTTCCAATAGATCGATTCTTACTGTATGGACGTGGGTGTTTTTCATTCCACACCCACACCCTTTTCTCATAGATATTCACTGCGCATAGAAAAACAAAGAACGTGATTAAAAATGAGTCCTGACAAAGCAGATTATTTAACAGGCTTAAATAAAAAAAGACATCAGACTAATCATATCTTATTTATTGACGTCTATCATTTATTGACGATGATAGTTGATATCTTATTTTCACTCAAAACATGTTCGATGATTAATCTAGACTTTGATCAATTCTTCTTTCTCTTCGTCACGTTTTTCTTCACTAAAATCAAAAAAAAAGATCATGTTGAATTTAAATTTCATTCTGTGTTTTTGAATTTGGAGAGGAATGAAATTAAATCAACAGTTTTGTTTATTAATCCAATCTAAAATGAATTTTTTATCTTATCTACGGCGAAACCTTCTCTAGTACATTATTTTTTCTCTTTGTGTTATCTTAGAATAAATGAACGAGAGAAAAAAAGAGAGATATATAACTAGAGAGAAACAAAGTAGGAGAAGATTATTTTATCAGTTAACTAATTTATCAAAGAATAAATCTTCTTGAATGATGCGGAATATCTATGTATTTATCATCATTCTTCTGCTCATTTTCAACACTGAAACGTTAGGTAAATATTTTTATTTATTACATACTGAAGATTAGCTATTGCACAAACGATATTATGCGTTAGAGTTTTAGTTGAACAAAAGATAATTTGATGGAAATTTCTGTTATATATATTGAAAAGTGATAGCTCTCATCTTCTATAGACTTCAATATAACTCATTCAGAGGCTGTGTTTCTCTACTGCGATTGATTTTATTGTCAAACTGTGTTGAAATTATAAAATGTTCCCATAGCTATCAGTGGTGAAACTTTTTAATTTTGTATCTAAAATTATTTTCAAAGTCTAAACTATCGAACAAAATACAAAATCGCCACAGTCTCAACGATGTGATTGGGTGAAGGTAGGATTTAGAGAGCGCACAAAAGTTGAGTGAAAATATAGATAAAAAAGAAATTTAGTAGGCTTTGGTAATCGATGATAATGGTGGCATTAGATGAATCCAAATTGTTAACAAAGATGGTGATATATATGACTAGCGAATGAATGTCTCGTTGATTGAGAAGACGTCAGCCTGGATTTGAATGCATGCAGTGGCTATGTGAGACTTTTTTGTGGTTTCAAGAATGAGTGTAGTTTAAGTTTAAAGTATAAGTTAGAACACTAATTGATAGTATTGTATATATCTGAGTTTGTATCGATTTATGGTTTCAAAACGGCTGAAAACTTGAACAGTACTAGAATCTTCTGTGGATATCGAATTTATTTGTAGATCTTAAGATGAGAAAGAAACGAAATCTATTCCATCATATCGCATTATAACATGTGGAAAAAAGGATTAATTGACTTCTTCAAATGAAATCAAAATGAAAAAAAAGAAAAGATGAACAGATTTATGTAAATGAAAACAAAGTTTTGTGGAATGATTTGACTATTTTGGTTTGAGATAAGATGTAGATACATTTATCAAAAAGTTTTATGTATAAAAATAGAAGTGAGACAGCAAGTCAGTTGATCGTCCACCTCTATGTATATTATTTACTCTGATAGAAAATGACAAGGATTTAAAACATTTGAACTGTACAAAAGAAAACAATCTTTTTTTAGAATATATAAATAATTATCTCATAGAAATGAATACATCTGCTAGAAAGAAGAAAAGAGCACAAATCATATGATAATGTGGAACTGCTTTGCAAGTGCAAATTCATTTTGTTTAATTTGATGAGAGTTGCAAAATAAAGAAGATTTCTATTTTAATTTTATCTCACTATATTTTTGTTAAATAATTTCTTTAAAAGATTATTTAATTAAAGATTAGCAAGAAAATTTTCTCCTCTCTTTCACATATTAAATTCAATTGAAATGATTTTATCAATCAATTTGAATAAAGTCATTTTCATTCTACACAAATCTTTTTTCCTCTTTCGAATTCATTTTCGTTGAACAAATAAACTAAAAATCCTACAATTATTTTTTTGTCTTCGATAAATTCATTCTCCTCTCAGTTGATATTCACATATCACCCAAGATAATACAACAACAATCATAGTAGTTCTTTTAAAATTGATCTCAATGAGTTTTTCTCTTTCCTATTTTCAGCTCCTTCATTCAATCAACCAAAGTTTTGTCCAACATCCATCTGGAATCCCACTGGAATTACGATTGCTAATCGATCGATTGTTGGTCAATTTCCTGTCACCATTTTTGTGAACACAAACAATACAGTTTATGTCGCTAATCTAGAGGAGGAAACTATTGTCATGTGGGATGAACAGAGTGTCAATCCAACAAAAATCATTTCCGGTAATTTTAATCAACCGGGTTCTTTCTTCGTGACATCAAATGGTGATATTTATGTTGATGATGGCTGGATGAAACGTCGAGTGCAGAAATGGAGTGCAGAAACAAATAACTTTACCACAGTGATGAATGTCAACTCATCATGTGATGGTATGTTTGTCGATATCAATGATACTCTTTACTGTTCAATGCATGATCATCATCAAGTATTGAAAAGATCATTACATGATGCTGTTATAACTTCAAATCGTGTTGCTGCTGGAACAGGTATTGAAGGATCAGCCTCGAATCAACTTAATAGTCCTCATGGAATCTTTGTCGATGTGAATATGGATTTATATGTGACAGATTGTCGAAATAATCGAGTTCAGTTGTTCCAGTCGGGAAAACCAAATGGCATCACAGTGGCTGGAAATACATCAATAAATCCAACAATTACACTTTTTTGTCCTACTGGAATTGTCTTAGATGCTGAGAAGTACTTATTCATTGTGGATCGACGCAATCATCGAATTGTTGGTTCAGGCTTGAATGGTTTTCGATGTTTAGTTGGATGTTATGGAATAGGTTCACAATCCAATCAATTGGATAATCCATTTAGTTTTAGTTTCGATCATTCTGGAAACATGATTGTTACTGATCAAGAGAATGATCGAATTCAAAAATTTCAATATTTCGAAGAATCATGTGGTAAGTTTAGAATGATTGAATAAAATCTCTAATATCATTTAAATCAATAGTTACTCAGAGAAAATTAAAAAGAAAACCTATCTTAGAAGCTGAAAATGAAACTCCTGATGGATTGAAAACTGAATTATTGATCGGTAACATTATCGCCATGTTAGTTGCATGATACAGATGGAAGTTAGAATGTCTATGTATTTAGAAGGAAAGTCAGAGATGGATTCAGCCCCTTTTGCTGAGCTTTCTTTATAAATTTTCTTTGATTCACCATTATCTGCGCTCACTTACTGCTACTGACTGTAGAAAATAATGAACACAATAATTTTATGAAACGTAGGTCAGTGTCTTCACAGAAAAATGTCAACAACGAGAAGAAGAAAAAAGTTCTATTCTTACCTGCCATGGTCGTAGATCTACTAGACCTTTATGAAATAGTTTCATCAGACAGTTTATTGTTATGCTTAGTGATATCGACGAAAAAAACTAATATTCTGCATTATATTTACAAAAGAAGTAAAGTTTGAAAATAATGATGATAAGGAAGAAATCATAAATTTGTAAATCTATCACTTACCAGACTCTTTCTCCTCAGAATAATACTCGTTTTTGTATATGAGATTTTATAACATTTCTTTATTGTAATTATTACGGTGTCTCTTGGACAGAACATGCGGATTTTAAGCACGCTAAATAAATATTTTGTTTCATGTTTTTCTTCATTTGTCTATTAAAAGCATTGCTTTAAAGCAGACAATTCAATTCTCATTAGTAAACAGAATGGAAATTAAACAAAGAATATGCCCAATCATTTCTTTTGTTCATTCTAAATACGAATACTCATTGATTTTTTTCATTCAACAGATAATTCATCACTAATAAAATCAATGTATTTATTATCGTTGACATCAAATAGTTCAACGTATTTTCAAAATTGTTCAGAGTTAGATTTATATTATGAAGCGATACAAATGAACGTTACTATAACTGGATATTATACTTTTCTAATCAACAGCGAAATGAAAATCATGTACGCTTATATCTATACAAATAACTTCAATCCATTCGATGTGACAAAAAATATGCTTAGACATAATGGAGATTTCGATAATCGAGGTCAATTTCAACTCACAGCTGCTCTTCAGGCTAATATGAAATACGTTTTCGTTATGACAACATCTGCTTCAAATGTGACAGGAAATGTTTCAATTCAAGTATCTGGCCGAAGCTATATCGATTTCGATCGTATTTGTGAGTATCTATAGTATTTTAATAGATAATCAACTGCACATATCCAACAACAGTAGATAATATAGATTAACTCAATCTATACAATGATATACAGATATTTCTATTCGATAGAGACTAAGTTTCACATCAGTTCCAGTCGCTTTCTGTAAATGTATCTGAAAGAGAAAATTATATTTCAAATTGTTTACACTTATTTTCAGATTATACAAAATTGAATCGATTTTCTTTTTTATTAGTGAATACTTCATCAGTTGTTCAAACAATTTATGCATCAGAATTGACAACGAATAGTTCAATGTATTTCGATAGCTTTTCAAGTTCAAGTTCCTACTATGAAGTAACACAAGTGAATGTTCGTAGAAGTGGTCTTTACACTTTTCTCAGTAAAAGCTATATGAATACATACGGTTATATTTACAAAGATTATTTCAATCTATTGAATCCAAAGGAAAATCTAATAGTAGACAATGATGACAGCTGTGATCTACGTCAGTTTAGATTCACCGTTGCTCTTGAAACCAGTATTACATATACATTGATTGTGTCAGCATATGGTAATGCTACGATAGGTACATTCTTGATCTTTGTATCCGGTCCAAACAATGTTGATCTCAGGAAGATTAGTAAGTGTTTGCACTACAATTATTAAATGAATATCTAGCAACGTTAGCATCAGTTTTTAGTTGAGTTTGGCATATTCACAAATAAAAACTTGTTTTGTAAGATGACATTCGTATGAAAGAAAAAAGCTTTAGACAAACACCTACATTAGATCTATCATATAATAGAATATTGTGAATAGAATCAGATCAATCTCCTTTAATACAGACCCGTTTCAATCGATCGTTAATGTAATGTAAATAATATGCAAATCGGCATGAATCCCTGCTCGTAATCATGAGATGAAAAAAAATTTGATTTTTGTTAAATTCACTTTGTATAAATCTAAAAGATATCTTTACGTACTTTAATTTTTGAATAAATTACAATAGCAGCAAAACTAGACTATAAATAAACAATTTTTCCTATCTCAAACATTGAAACATTATCCATTTACGAAATAAAAAGGTTATTTCAAACTCATGAGTGATATATATTATCGAGGGTTTGAGTACAAAAACATATTCATAGATTCTATTTTCACTCTTTTTTTACGACTGAATGATTTCATTGAGAGTGATATTATATTGAAGAGTGGTCTCTTGAGAAAGCTACACTCACCTTCGACATGCTTTTCGATATTCAGGATATATGAGAGATGACTTATGATGCTCAATTTTCTTTCTTACATCCAGACGATTTGTGTTTCTCTGAGCCAATTCAGATTTATCACGAATCTCGACTGTTATTTTGGTTTTCATCACGTGTGAGGATGGACATAGGTTCTCCCATGGATCTGGTTACGATATGACTACAGCACTCATACCCATGTCTTCAAAATCGCCAAGATTTGAGCAATGAATCGCGATTTTTCAAAATATTGACGATTATATCGCCAGTAAGAAATACTTATTTTGCGGGAATCGTTACGAATCAAGACTTTCCGATAAAAAAATCGGCAAAAAGTACTTAATTTTGGCGATTTTATCGCGATAGATCTCACAATTAATCGGGTGCTAAATCGCAATTAAATCGTCGGTGTCCCCCCGATTTTGATGACATGGGTATGGATATTGTATTCACCTAGCGCACACACCCACGCTCTGAAAAACGCCTTACTTTTCACTTTATTTTATATTTTCTAGCTTTGACGACGACGACGACAACAACAACAACGACGACGGCAACAACAACAACGACAACAGCGACAACAACAATAAAGTCAAGTGCCGTAACAACATGGTTCCCGTCTAAATTTTGGCAATTTGCATTATTCGCACCAACTGCTCTTATCTATTCAAACTATATTCACAACTAATATATGACAATAAAGAAATCTTTTCTTTTCAAAAAAAACATTTGATATTTATATTTAATCACTAACTCTTTCTTTTCTCCTTTGTGTTTTATCAAGCTTTCGTTTGTCTTATCTTTTCTGCATACTAACAAAGACTTTCGATTCAAGTGTGATTTTGTGAATTATAATAAAATTATTTTCATTCAATCGTTCTTTTCTTCATAGTCTACTAGGCACAGAAAAAAACAAGTTATTTACGTTAATTAATGAATGAAATCAAAGATAAAAAGCGGATTTATGTTCCACCTGATGTTGCTCATGTAAATTGATAAATGAAATATCGAAAAAAATTTGATAAATCAAGCGTAGAAAATGCCTGTCAATTATGTACAAATCTTGATATCGATCAATTTAGTAGAAATTTATGCTAAAACTACTTGAGAACGATCTTTAATACAGAATAATCATGGCGAGACAACAAGTAAACGAGTATTGAGAGATAAAAATTCGCAAGTAGAAAATTTGTTCCATCCTTATTCATAGTTGAATGAAAGTGAAAATAAAATATATTTTTTTGTTTTTTTAGTTTATTTGTTTTTTAATTGAAACAAGGCAATGACAGAGATAAATTTCGGTTGTAAATATCGAGTTTTATCTAAAGAATTTTGATATAAAGTCCAATCAACATGCTATCGATGTGAAGACCATAAGTATTGATTATTGAACCAAGCTAATCATGAAATGTTGACGAATGAGTTTTACAAATTGTCCAAGTATTGTAGAGAAGTTCAGATGATCTTAAGATGTTACAAGTTTTTGTTGTGGAATACTATTGAAATCTCCAAGTAATAGAAGAACATCTGTCGGATATTTTCTTATTAAAAACAAATAAGTTTATTGATTCATTGGATAATAATTGAAAACGTGCAATATTTAATGTTTGAGGTATTTTCGATAACTAAAAATAATCTTGATCTAATAATTTCAATATTTGATTATTGTATAAAATCGCTCTTGAAAATCGAGTTGAGAACCAGTTGATTGATAATAACTTGGTAAATGAGATTGCCGATGTTGAAATTGATCAGTTAATGGTTCTTCTACACATAGAATAGTTGGTTTCCATTTTCCAATTATTTTAATTAAACGGTAGATTCTTTTTTTTACAATTATTATCTGGATTATGTTCAACAATATCGACACGAATATTGAATGTTATAACAGATAATAGATCATATTTAAGAGATAAATATTTTTGTAACATATTGAAATCAAAATTGAAAAAAATACAAACTATTTATACTTCATAACAAAATATCATTGAAAATACGAATGTAATGTGTATAAAATATCTGGGTGTGGGTGTGGTTATTACATTAGCCTTACTCTGATATCCGCATCCTTACCCACACCCACACCACGATGTGGTCACTATTCGATATTTTTATTTTCGATATTTTTACTTTCGACATTATTAGAGGGAATCCAATATTCTTCTATCTTACCTTTCCTGTTCTCTCACATTATCTCATCCTCAATAGAATTATAAACTCACTTCTATATGTATCTCAATTGAATCAGAAAATTCAATTTTAATTATTAAAATACAATACCAAATCAATTACAACAAAATTAACAAATAAATTAAACTTTTATTTTATTATTTTAAAATCAAAAATATAAAAAATTAATTTATTTTAATAAAATACATCGAAACAGATATTTATCTATAAATCAAACTTAATATAATTATTAAAAATAATTTATTATGAATTTTCTACATCTATTTTTTTTCAATCAAATAAAACAAAAGTATTTTCAAAAAAAATTTAGTTATTCATTCCACCATCAACATCAACAAATTTAATTCAAATCAATATAAAATTTTTGTATTCGATGATTTCCGTGATCGACAACATAGAGATTACCTTGAACATCGAATGATAAATCTGTAGGATAACGAAACTGATTTGGTTTTGCTCCTTTTCCATTTTCACCAACAACAATACTACCTTCACAAGATCCTTCACACTAACGCATTATTCGATCATTGTAACGATCAGCTACATAAACACTACCCAAATGATCGACAATCACCCCATAGGGAGAAGACAACTGTGTCAAACTATTTCCTTCGTCCTTTCCACTAGCAACAACAATACCTTCTTTTGCACCTTTCATCCATTTCATTACACGATTATTAAAAGAATCCGATACATAAACTGAATGATCTTTATCAACGAAGATATGAGTAGGGCAATGGAATTGATTGAGATGCTTTCCTTTTCCATTTCCACGTACTACTATTGTTCCTTCTTTCTCTCCTTGTTTCCATCGTCTCACTTCATTTTTCACATAGTCAGAGACGTAAAGATCTACATTCTTATCTATTGTCAGACCATAGCAATGAATATCGGAAATGATTGTTTCTCCATTTTCACCATTTTGACGAGACCATCGTACTAATCGTTTGTTTCCATAATCACAAATGATGAGAGAATTATTCTTTTTGTCAACAATCACATCTGTTGGATAATTCAATTGATCGCTTCGATCTCCTTTTTCATTCCCACCTGCAACAACTTGACCATTCTTTGCTCCATATTTCCATTCAACGATACGATCATTCCCGAAATCAGCAATATAAATAGTTTGATGATCATCATTCACATAGATACCTTGAGGACGAGAGAGTTGATTTAATTGATTGCCTCGTCCATTTCCTCCAGCAATAGTAATTCCATGTTGTTTCCATTTGGTGTTGATATTAATATGATTGAAAAGAACTGATTGTTCTAAAAGGAAAATGATTTTGTTTATATCTAAATGAAATTGATGAATAAATATGTGAATAAAAACGTGTTATTTTAAAATGTAATAAAATAAAAATGATTTCAGTTGAATTAATCGTAATCTGAATTTAATTTAATTTAAAATTTATTTGATAAAATTGTTTTTATATTTGAAAATAAAATTTAACTAGTTTCATCTCAATGGATTTGTTTATTTTTAAAAAAAATTTCAAAGATAAAATCTAGGAATTTATTTTTAGTTATGAAAATAAAAATATTTTTATTTAAAATCATCTGAAGCGACAATGAAATGAAATATTTAAATACTTATTGATATAAATCTATATGATATTCTGTGTTGTAAATTTAATTAGAATGAGACAAAGATAAGGAAGATATTTGAAAGAGAATATTTTATTCCTTTACATTTTTTAGTTTCAATATTTATTTCACAAACAAAGTTTTTTTTATATAGAATCCTGATTCAATAAAACTAAATTCTCTGAACATTTTTTGTTAAAAACTATACAAGAACATTGTTACATTTTTGTTTTTTTGTTTAACAAATATTCTTAAGAATGAATAATGAAAAAGACAGATTTTGGAATTGAATAAGATTTTTTTCTTACTTTAACAAAAAAGAAATAACTTTGATTCACAAATAAAGAAGATTGATCAATTCTATGGATGAATGAGAATGAAGTTGAAGGTCTTTTTCTATCATAATAGAAAGAGAACTTAAAGTCGTGATGATTTTTTAAACAGATGTTAAAGTATCAAGAACTAATCTCACTCGCATCGAAATCATTTTCAATAAAAGAGAATAAAGTGGATGAGAGAAGAATTGTGAACATTATTCATAATCATACAAAATTATTTCAACTTTTTTTCTTGACACAATTTCTACAAATATATCGATTTAATATTAAAAGAAAGATTTCTATTTCTCATATTTACCCATATGTTACTGTTTTTTTAAAGGCTAGTTTAATCTCTTTACGTTCTCTATTTTGTTTGTACATAATTAATTTTTATTTTGAGTGGAAAAAGAATTTCAAATTGTTTATTTGCTAATCATTAAAATATCAAAAAATATTATTTTAAGCTTTTTAAATAAAAGATTTTTGATTTTGAATTAGTTTTTAAATTTCATATTATATGAGTTCAGTTAAATATGATGATCAATGCCTCTACAACGAATATCGTATGTATATTGTAAACAAAAACCGAACATATGTGGCTTATTCTCAATACTTCTCGTTGTCAATCAGCGCGAAACAATGATTATTCCAGTGGATTCAGTTTAGTCCACTTCGAAATTTATGAACTAGAAACGGAGATGATAAACATTTTATGTGAAGAAAGTACAAAATGTTATAGATATTGTTTATCATAAGCCATGTGAATAGTCTTGGCCGAACAAAAGCAAACGTCAATAAGCGTTTGAGGAAAATGCATTTCAGTACTATTCGAATCGTGATCAGTTCTAGTTGCCTTATGTTTCGACACATGTTGGCTAATCGTTTCATGCATACATTCTTTATGCAAACACAAAATGTCTCTAATTGAAATGAAGTTTCCTATTGCAAAAAGATATTTTGGTCATGTCATGTTCTACTGTCATAAGGATAAGATATAGATATGACAATGTTTTAAAAGCTAAACTGTACTAGCACACCCAATACCTAGAGATCGAATAAGATCTTACGTCAGACTACTATGGAATATCAACGAGTATTTTGGTATACAGTTGTTCACCTGATGTACTATCCTTATATCAAATTTTGGTATCGCGCGAAAAATGAATGAAATACATATCTTAGTTCTTACCCCTTGTAAGCCTTCCATTTGTCTCTTCCAGCATTGCGTACCAATATGGCTGTTCTGACATCTTCAGGTACATCAAACTGTGGTTTTTGTATAAGGATTTTAGCTGTTGAACATCATCGGTATTTACTTGCGTACGATAAAACTCGAGATGTCTTAAGGAGTGACGTTCTCGAGAGGCTTGAATAAATGCGTGTGTGAGTTCATGTGTGATAACAGATTCAGACATACGGAGTCGTGAAATAAATTGATGATTTTTCAATGATTCACTCAGACTAGCTTCTTTTCGATCCGATTGTTGAATATTTTTTACATGCAGACTGAGATGCTTGATTGATTTATGTTCTTTCACAGTATTCAAAAGATTAACAATGAAAGTTTCGTCTTCGAAACCAGTCTGATCCATAATATCGATTTCTTTTAGTGTTTGATTGGTTTTCAACATTTCACAGAAACGAGATAAAGTCGATGGTACCTGCAACGAATTGTTGAATTTTAATTGATATAATGTTTTCATTTTAGAATTAAACAGAGCATCTATGACATCAATATTGTTGGAATGTTCCATAATCAATCCTGTCACCATTCCTTTCGTTTCAAAGCACTTCTGAAGTTCACGTTCGTGGCCCATAAAGTCAGAAGCAGAAAAATCGAACATTCGACGTATCTTGTTTTGCTGCAAGAGTTGAGTAAGCATTGACGTATGTCCATCTTGGTAACTGTCGCAGAAGCGAACTTGAAAAGATTGATTATTGAATTCTGCAGTCATGCACTTGCAGACATACTTCGTATTTCCAAGCAGATTTGAAACACAAACTGCAAACATGTTAAGACACCGAACCGAAGAGCGATTAATGACAACATTAAGTAACTTGGCAAGATCATCTTCCTTCAGTGTACACTCTTTAAATGTCAATTTCAGAACATTGAAACCTTTGGTGAGAGCTTTACGCAATATTTTGACACTCTTTCTACTCAAATCCTTTGAACTCACTACTGCTTCTTTGGTTTTCGTATCGAATTCACCTCCCATGGCTTCCAACTGATCGATATATTTGAACATCGCATTATTAAAGCTGATATCATCATAGTGCTCTCGGCACACCCAATGCACATGTCCATCAACGGTGACTGTTCGGTACAGGTTTCCTAAACTATGTTTATTATCGACAACGCTCAGATATGTTTCAACATCGCGCAGATCTGCTCCTTGAAGTGGCACTCCACGTGACTTATGTTGTCCGAATATTGTGGACTTTGGCTGTGCCCATCGATGGTCGACTCGGTCGAGTAATTTCCCAACCAAGTTTAACTGCTGTTCCATCTCTTTTTGCTTATCAAGTATCGGTAACATCGTATCTATATCGGTATCAACAGGGTCTGACACACTATCCAATTGTGGAATAACAAAACTTTCAAGTTTGAGTAGGACCTGAGTAATTTTCAATGTTGTTCGTAAATAAGGTCCATACCTGATGATGAATTCTCTTGTATTTTTAATCGAATAGCCGTTATGTGGAGCTACATGCATTTTATCGGGCTCATCTGAACATTCACATAGAAAATAGAGTTTGTAATGGAGGTGATACCACTCTTGCACCGTGTTTAGCGTTGTCCAATCACTGTATTTTGCCGGAAGAATGAAAAAGTAGCGAGGTGTAGTGAACTCATGCAATTCATACGTCTGTGTCATGACGTCCTTTATTTGATTTATAATCGTTTGTGTATCGGCAAGAATAGGGTCTTCTTTCCCACCGAGAGAATCAAGCAGAGCACACTCGACATCATTCGATTGCTCTACAACAAAAATGATAAATGTAAAATTCTGGTGTTATAAGTAGTTTTTTTCATGTTTGCAGAAAAACACATCTAAAAAATACAACATTTTACAAAGTTCGTTATATGATCAGAATATCTCCTTCATCAGAAACTTCACCAAACTATATTCATCATAACATATTTTAATAATGTGTTCTCTCACCAAATATTTAGATAAATAAACGAAGAAACTAAATATTAATGTTATTGTAAAAAATGTATAACGGTTTAATAACAGGAAAAGATAAAATATAAATAGAGTTGATGTTAGTCAATATTGAATGTATCGATTTGATTTCAATTCTAAGAAATTTTCTGTCATCTAAAATAACTAACTGATAAACGGAAAACAAAATTCTGCTTAAAGGAATATTTATTTCTCTCAACCAGTTTCACCTTTTTTTAGTTTTTAAAGATTTTTTTCGGCAATAAAAAACTCATTTTTATGTAAATTGCTCATTCGAAAATCAGAGATTTTCTTTCAATAAACTTACCGATGGAATTGTTTGTTTTATTAACACTAGCATTGGTAGCTAATAGATTTTCCTCTTTGAATGTAAGTAGTTTTTGACGCCATTTCATACTCATATCATAAGCACCTCTCTGTGATGCGAGTTTACCAAGATCTTCATATAAACTGATATGTAATGGATCATCCGATGGAAGCTGTTTCAACAAACGAATAAAATATTTTTCAGCTAAATCAAATTTACCCATTTCCCATAATACATTTCCTAATGTTCGAAGATTTATTTCTTCATTTTCAATTTGTTGTTTCATATACATAAGAACTTGTTTTAAATCATGTTCATTATCATTACATAAAGTCATTTTAATGATCCATATTTGGTCACCATTACGTTTAATATTATTAAGACGAAAAATGGAACCAATCATAAAGAGAACTTCTGATTCGTCTGGAAAATAACTATGTTTACTAATATCAGCAAATGGTTTTGTAGTGGCTATCTTAGGATCAGCATCAATTTCAAATAATACTCGTTCTAAATCACTCTTTGTAGTTATATCACCCAGGAGAAAGAGAGCTGTTGTACGTTGTTTACTAGTAGAAAACATTGAATTTATAGAAATGTACTGGCCAATATTATTTTTAAGACTATCTAACTCATCCCACGACATTAGTTGACTTCGATAAACTTGCAAAGGATGTTTAGATTGATATTTTTGCAATTGGCGATAAATATCATAAATAAATGTACGAAATAAAAAAATCATATGAATATTTTGTGTACGTAAAGCTGCATTAAGAGTTTTATAAAAGAATGATTCTCTTGTGTACCACCATACAACTTTATCAGGTGTATAATCTTTTTCAAATTCATGAAGATTATTTAACTGCCAAGAATTCCCTTCATATTCATTTTGACAACAATTAATAAGCTCATTTTTGTCTATTTCAGTTGATTTTAATCGTAAAAGACAATCAATAAGAACCTGAGAAAAAACAAATTGTCCATTAACACCTGTTGTTGAATTTCCTGCATCAACATTTGTTGTGAAAGTATAAATTGGTAATGGTTCTTCTACCTTTTTCTGAATTTTATGATCTCTTGTAATTTGAGAGACAAGTTCATCAAGATCAACTACAACGGATATGACCTATGAAAAAAATGATAAAATAAAACAAACAGCTTTTAGAAGAATTTTACTTTTACAAATTTTAGAGCCCATTGTTCATTACTATTCTTATCCATACAATAAACATAAATTGATATAACTTGTCTAAGTTGATGAATGTAGGGTACTAATTCTCGTCCGAATCGACCACTAACAATAAGTATTAATCGATCTTTTTGTGATGTTTGTTCAATATAATGTTGACATTGTTTTACATCTTTAAATTTCTTGATATGATTAATAATAAAACGCAACTTCATTTCTGTATCTCGAGTATCTTTAACGTTTATATTCGCATCGAGCCAAATAAGTGAGAATATTTCGAGACATTTATCATCGGTGTTTGTGTAAAAGTCATCATTTGGTAGAACAGCAGTGGCCATGTCAATTCAAGGAACTAAAAATAGTATAGAGTTCTTATATGTTATCTGTTTAATCTATATATAATTATCGAATAAATTCTGTGATTTTTATAGCCAAAAAAAGAAGGTGATATTTTCTCTATTATTGTTTCATTTATTTATAATATTCATATGTCGGTTTTTTTCAAACTTTGATGTAAATCAAAAGAATAAAAGAATAATATGTTATAATTAATTAATGAAACGAGACTGGGTCTGACGATGAGTGTGGATGTTGTATTAATCATACACCCACACCCTTTTTCCCCAATTATTATGTAATATGCTGTCATTATCTAAATAACTAAAATATTATTTTTTTGACTGTAGTCAGCGTCTTAATCCTGAAATTGATTATAGGTTCACTTGTTTGTCTACAGGATATTTGACTCATAGTTTTCCTCATTATTGTATGGGCGAAAGTTTGTGTTGTTCGTGTCGATCAAATATTTGCAAAAGTCCTCTACGATATGCTCCTAACAACCTAACGTTCCCTTGACTATAATCAGGGTCTTAATCTCTCAAACGACTGTTTTTATACATGTTCGTCCGCAGAACTTGTACAGTCAGGGAACCTAGTGAATCGCGTCAATCCATGTTACTTGTTCTCATTGATATCAGTTTATTTACTGCCTTATCCACATAAACACGTGAATAATATTTTTGAATGTAACTAATAAGAATATTTCTGTACACAACATCAATAATACTATTATCTGATATAAACATGAAATTATGACCGAATAACATTAACCTACCTTAGAAGACAAAGTGAGAATCAACAAAATATTTGAAAAGAGTCGATTACGAAGGTGAAAAATGAGTAGATTAAATGAAAAGAAATGTTTTATATATACGATGCTTCTTTGTTCGTTGTATTCGTATGTAATTGTGCAAAGTAATTTTTGTTAGGGGTGTTACTTTATCTTTGTTTTACTTTATAATAAAGAATAAAGTAACAAAAATCTTTACCTTTATTTTATAAATATAAAGGCTTACTTTGTTTCTTTATAAAATAAAGATAAAGTAATACCCCTAATTCTTGTTTGTCTCTTTTCCTAGTTCTTATCAAATCATAGTAGTGTTGATTACGATCAAACAAAAACGACAATGTAATAAACTAAATGCTGTTGAAAAATGAATCGATTTTGATGAAAAAAGTAAGTTGAAGAAAGAAGCACAAATATATCGGAAAAGGTATTGAATGAATTATTTATTAATGTCTAAAAACAACTACATAGAAGAATAAATAGCTTTGAAAAAAAAAGAATTGACGAATTGAATGAAACTGTTTGTGAACAACTTAGCGACTCTGTTTTCAAGAAGGAACCCAACATTTACTGTGGAATTCAAATTTGATTTCTAATACTATCTCTAAAATTGTTTTAGTAGAATCATTATCGATATCGATTGATTTCTAAAAGACTACATTTTATATAAAGTTCCTATAAAATTTTCTGAATTTTACCTTGTACATTATAATTCTCACATGATAAATAAAAATAATTATAACAACAAAAGCTAAACATTTATTCATATTCATTAAAAGAGTAAAAAGGAAAGATAATTATTATCTGATCGAAAACAAAATAAAAAAGAATTTATGCATATAAATATTAGTCAACGGATTTATTTTCATTCTCATTTTATTGATTCCTGAATTGTTTATTTCTGTTTTTAAACTAATTCATAGAAAAATATTTTTATTTAAATCAAACAATTGTAATAGAAGATAAACAGATCATAAAAATCAATTATATTATTCAACTTCTATTGAAAACTTTTCAAGAAATATTTTCAATAATAAACATGATAAATGTATTCGATTTACTATGAAAATAATGTATTTATCGTATTAATTTTAAAAGAATAAAATAATGTTATTTACATATACTTATTAATCGAGAATATCTTGAGTATGTGAGTGAATGATGATGAACCCACAGACACACACACACACACACACTATCTTATTTTAGTTGGTGATATATCAATAAATGATGGCCGTCTCTCCTAGTACTTAAGAGAAAAATCGGAAAAAATAACAAATTATAGTTAATGAAGACATAACTATGCTGATCTTGATGAAAAAAAATGAATAAACACTTTGTATTTTAGACAGTTCCTTTTTCCCTACAAGTGAGAATATTATCTATAGTTAATATTGTCTCGTTTGAAAGAAGTCGTTTAAAACAAATTTCAACAAAATCAGCTTTAACAAGATTTACAAATATTGAATCTAAAATATCGTTGGCAAACATTGGAGAACAATCTTTTTCATACATTGATTGAAAAGCATTTCGTGATAACAGAGATACGTACAATTGTATTCAATATTGTACTTGTCTGAAAATCCATTAGATTCGTCAATCGAACAATATTTTTAGTTACATTATTAAAGATTGTCTCTATTTCAGAGAGATCTGAATTATTTAAACTACTCGATAAATTTAAAAGTTTACCGATTTCTTGTAGGAGACTAAGATAAATAGGTTTTTTTATTTCACATCTCGTCAAATCATGTTCTTCCATATAAAGTAAAATTTCAAATATGTAGAGCATAACAAAAAGAAAAGAACCACAAATACTACCATATATATATATATTTGTAAGACAAATGATTCTTATTGGATAAAATAAAAATAATATTATTGATAGAACATGTAAACATGCTTTTCTATTTTTAATAATGTCGTTGTTCGAAGGACGTCGAAGAATAGAAGAAAAAAAGAATTTCACTCGTTCTGCTGTCGTCTCCTTGTATTTTAGACATGCTTATTCTATTAGAACAACTGAAATACTCCATATATTTATTAGATTTCAAGGTTTTTTTAATTGTATTCATTTTTTATGTTTTTCTAGAAAATCTATTAAACTTATTAGAGATAGATATGTTATAGTTATATTTTTTAGAATAAATCTGATCAACATGAAAACATGAATTCATTAACTCGATTTCATTCAATGTTGTATATGCTTTTATACTTATTTTACTTTTTTTATCAATGTCAACAATTAATTGGTGCCTTGGAATGTTGCTATAAATCGGTTGAAATTTTAAAACTGTATTGATCGAAGGTAAGAGTCTTGAAATAAAGTAACAGGTTAAATATTGTCATGTCCATCGCACATAATACACTCTCTTTCCTCTCACACGCATACATCCCTCTTCATCCGCCTCATTCTTTCTTCGTTTCATCTTTTATGATATAGCATTACGCGTGATGGTATGCTTCGCTTCTTGTAGTTTTTCAGTTCATATTCATTCGTTTTCTTTTTTGTTTCTTGGAATATACACGATAAGATATAAATTACAAACATGCTGTTACAAAAGTGAATTTATTTTAGAAGAAGTTGACTTTTTTCGTAATTCAAATATTGGAAAAGAAAACTAAAATATGGCGAAACTTGTCACAACTATTTGGCTAAATCAAATACAGATATGTGATAGAGAATGTTATATTTCTTTTTGTACAATTGATCCATACCTAATTACATATCGGGATACACAAAAATGCAATGATTATATTATCAATTTGAAACATGATGAAGATCGTGTAATTATGATTATTTCCACTGACAAACTGTCATCTTCTTTTAATGCATTGATACAACAATACATCAAATTGACACAAGTTAAATCAATCTACATTTTGTGTAACTCGAGTGAGATGAATGTTGGTATGTATGATAAACCAAGTAAAGTACATGGAGTCTACACTGAACGATATTCATTATGTAATGAACTTACTTTATTACCCGATATAAATCGTCACCGTAGACAAAATTTTCAACGCATGGACTTTATCATTACTGCATCAGAAAAACTGTCTGATGAAAAAACGATATCAACAATGTCTCCGTCGCAGCATCAACAGTCATCGATCATGGACCGAAAGCTGAATGAACTCGAGTTTCTATATTCAAAAATTCTTCGGGACATTTTATTCGAAGATGTAAGGTCAACACAAAGTGAAATGGTTGACTTCTGCCGACAAATATATGCTGATGATCCAGCAAAATTAAATGAGGTCGAAGAATTTGAAGAATATTACACATCTCAACTTGCTATATTTTGGTATACACGCGACACATTCCTTTATCGTCTGCTGAACAAAGCGCTCAGAGAGCGAGACATCAAAACACTCTACTCGTTAAGATATTTTATTAAAGATCTTTATTTAAGATTGAAGGAACTCCAGAACTCTCAGTCGTCGTCTCGCACAGAATACAAAGTTTATCGAGGACAGCTGATGGACAACGCCGAATTTGATACGAAAATACGAGATAATATCAATGGCTTCTTCTCTATAAACAGTTTTCTATCGACCACTCAAAGTCGAGACTTGGCACTCGTATATTCTGGCAGCAGTCATTCGGAGAAAATAACTAATGAACAATGCGTTCTATTTGAAATTTCTATTGATAACCGTATAGATGAATCTTCTTATGCGGATATTTCGAAGCAGAGTGCATTCGGTGAAGCAGAGACAGAAGTACTCCTTACTATGGGTGTTACCTTTCGAATAAACTCACTTGTTCAAGACAATAATGAACATGTTTGGATTGTTCAATTAGAATTAAGTGATGAAAAAGATAAGCATTTACACAAAATTAAACCAACAATAATGAATGATATTGCGAAACCATATGAACCTTTAGTAAAATTAATAAGACTAATGTGTAGAATGAGCTTTTTAAAAGAAGCAGAATATTTTTCACGATTAGCTTTAGAAGATGACTCGATCACTTCTAATATTGATTTACTGTCGCTAGTTTACTATCAACTTGGAATTATATATAAAAGTACTAGAAAAATTGATGAAGCAATGGTATACTTTGAAAAAACCTTAGACGTGAAACACGAAAATCATGTTTTATTATCAGATCCATCTCTGTCAAATTTATACTGCAATTTGGGAACTGTCTACGAAGACAAAGGCGAATACGACCGTGCTTACTCTTACCATTATTTAGCGTTGAAGGTTCTTCTAAACACTGAAACAATAGATCAAGCTGATTTAGCAATAAAATATAGCAATATCGCTTCCATTTGTCGTAAAAAAAAAGATTATCGGCAATCATTACAGAACTATACGAGTTGTTTAGATATTGAAACTGAAATACTTCCGCCTGATGATAACAATCTTTTGATCACGAAGAATAATATGGGTGTTGTGTACATCAAGTTAGAAGATTATACTGAAGCAATCGAACTCTTTCAAGAAGTGATTACAACTAAAGACGATTCATCTGAATACCTAAGCAATAATCCGCTTGTAGCACTTATCTATTGGAATTTGGCTTGTGCTTTTTACCAACAAGGACAACTGACAGAAGCTCTTAAACATTTTAGAAATTGTGAGAGCACCGCCGCTTTCAGATTAAAGGGCATATTTCATGAGCGACAAGTGACGGAATGTAAAGATTGGATTCATCGCATAGAAGAAGAACTGTCGAAAGAATCATTTCACATATGGAAGGGATATGAACCCGACACATGGACAGCATGTCATCCTTATAATATGAGCTTTACTCTCAACTAGTACTCACTTATTATTCTACTGAAAGAATATGTCGTTCAGGTTGCAAATATCCCTAAGGATATGGATGCCTGGATCACAGTTTGGATGTAGTTGTCAAATTAGAGCTACTATACTCGTATAATAAAAAATATCTCACAAACTTTTATTCTTTTTTTGTTTTTCTTATGCTTATCATATATTAATAATGGAATGTCACTCGACGTATACCATCGTGATGTATTTTAGACATATTTATTCTGTTAGAACAACTGATATACTCCATACATTTGTTAGATTTCAAGGTTTTTTTATTGCATTCATTCTTTTTTTTTCTAGAAAATCTGTTAAGCTAATAAGAGGTAGATATATTATAATTATATTTTTTAGAATAAATCTGATCATTATAAAAACATGAATTCATCAACTCGATGTAATTCAATGTTTGATGATGTACGTGTTCTTGAGGATGTGGATGTGGGAATTGTCTTTCATTACTGACACCCACACACACATCCATACC